TCCAAGGACAGAGAGTAACAAATTGGATGCTATCATTTTACGTAATTAAGTGGCGAAGTTGCTTTCATATTTCGCGTTTGCCCAACCGAAAACAAAAGCGAGACATTAACGTGAACAATGATTCTGGGTTGAAGTTTACACTTGTCTTATGTTCTGTAACGCGATGTCAGGGTAGACAAAAGGCGAGGGGTTTTTTCGAAAAAAAAAGATGGTAAAATATGGCTCCCACCGCCTATTGTATGAAACTCTTTATTCACGACCTTTTTCCTTCTCATTTCCCTATTTTTATTGTGAAAGGATTAACAATAGTACAGGTATGGCGGCGGTGTATTTTATAATGACTTGCATAAATTAGGACGTACGTATTTCTGTTGTTGGGGATAAAGTGACCGTGAATTGTGTTACGTATTAAAACCTCTTTGCTTTTTTATATAGAAGGTGAAAGTGTAATCAACTTTTGACCTTTAAAATCGTATTTGTGTATTATTCACATAAAACAAACTCATTTCTCTTTTATATACGATAGGATCATTCCTATAAACCAAGTATATTTTTTTTTCTTTTATTTTATTATTATTTTTTTTATGTACCGAGGTAAATAAGTTACTTTGCCTTGGAAGATGGGTAGGCCTTTGGTGTGGGACGCGACGTGTGTAGACACCTTTGCGCCATCACATCTTTTAAGCACCGCTGCATGCGTTGGTGCAGCTGCTTCCGCGGCAGAGGCCCTCAAACGGCGTAAATATTAAAATCTAGTGGGTAACTACTGTTTTGAGCCGTTTGGGGTCGAAACACTTGGGCCATGGGGTCCCAGTGCACACTCTGTGTTTAAAGACATCGCCCGTAGGCTAATCGACTCTACACGTGACCAGAGGGCTGGCTTTTTCTTCGGACAGAAAATAAGCATTGCCATTCAACGTGGCAATGCTGCCAGTCTTCTGGGAACTTTCCCCTGTGATAGTGATGCGGACGAATACTTTGATGCCTAAATTAAGGGTATAATTTTTTGTTGTTTTCTTTTACTTTCTTTTTATTTAAGAGTTTAGTTGTACTTTATTTTAAGTTGTAAATATTTATGTAGTTATATAAAGCAAATGAATATATTTAATAAAGTATAAATTTAGATTCAGTGTGAATTCTGACAAATTCTAGTATTATCATAAGTTTATTCTAATTGGAAATTGTGTTATAATGGGCATTCGTGACACTATTACAATTAATTGCTACTAAAACAGACTCAAGGTTTTTGTATACTAGATTATATTACTATAGTACTAACGAGGCCAGTTAATACAATTTTAGTTAGATATTAAGATATTAATAAACTTCAACTTGTATACTAACATATTAAATTTAACACTAACAGTCCGCAACTGTTTTTTATGGGATAAGCCGGTAAACATGCAGGCGGATCACCTGATGGTAAGCAATCGGCGTCGCCCATGGACACCTGGAATACCATAACGTTACACGCACTTCACTGACCTTTTTTGAAATTTGAGGATTGTGGGGGATTCGTGTATTGAGGGACTGGGGTGTAATTGGGCCTCCGGTAGTTTCACTCACACGACGAAACACATCGGAAGCATTATTCACGTCGGTTTTCTGTGACGCCGTGGTATCACTCCGGTCAGGCCGGCCCATTCGTGCCGAAGCATGGCTCTCCCACACTTAATTATGAATTATGGACCTCTTCTTCATAAAAGTGTTTGCCATAATCTCTACGCCGAATAGACAGGTAGGAAATTGCTTTAGGTTTATCAGTGAACATAGTCTTGTCTCTGTCTAGTCTAAGTAATATGAGATCCGTCAATTGACTGCTCCGACCCTCACGGGAATAATAGTGATGGTCACAATAATGTATTATATATATATATATGTATATACATATGTATTATATACTGTATATGTGTATTACATATTATACTTGTTACATCTAGTACTTGTTTTAGTATGGAAATACCCCAACACTATATTGCATTACATTAGTTAACATCTGTCACAGAGTCCACTGTCTTACTATCATACTTTTATATCATACATTTAGTGTTTGGAGTCTATGTGTGTTCTACTCAAATTGTATTAATAAGGTGGTAATACATTTTAATATTAAAAATACATCGTTTAAGTCAATGCACCAACATAACAATACTTAGCTTTAGTTAGTAATAAAGCTAACAAGCAACAACAAATCGTGTTACTAATCTAATAATCTGTTAAATATTGACTTGCATAATTGTAATACATGTCATGTATGTTTCGGCAATTCCATTGTATGCACTATGACATGAACAAACATCAATTATATCTGCGAAATAGACATAGTACTGTGACGATTAATATGTTGAGTGGGTCAAACAGTTAGTCGTCGTATGTGTCGCAATCGTAACAGCTTAATGCATACTGTCTATTGTAGAGGTAAATGAGAAAATAGTACTCTTTGTACCTGAAAATTCAGTTCAGTGTTGATTAAATTGAAGATTAAATGAAAAAGTCTACAATTAGGGTTTGTTAAAAGAAATCGTATTACGTTATTTTTTTATGGAATTAGCCGGTAAACGAGCAATCGGATCGCCTGATGATAAGCAATCGGCGTCGCCCATGGACACCTAAAACACCAGATATGTTACAAGTGAGTTACCGGGGGTAATTGGGCCTCGGGGAACCTCACTCACATGACGAAGTTCAAGTGTTTTTCACGTCGGTTTTCTGTGAGGCCGTGGTATCAGTCCGGTCGAGCCGATGTAATGATAATAAAAAATGGCTAAGAGAATAAAATTCGATATTAACCTGAATTTTCAATTACCATTTTGCTTGAATAGCATAACTAACGGCAGTAAAGTGCTTTTATGATATTTTCGTAAATTATTTTCAGTCATAAATACCTTGATTGAGATTTAACACCTTATTCAATACGTCTGTAAAGTAATAATAAAATTGGACACAGTATCGTCGTCAATATTTTCAATTTGAAAGGCGTCCTCGTTTAATTTAATATGGATTGGATTTAATCAAAACCTTTTGACAGTGACTTAATAATCAAATTTGAAGAGTAGTATTTCTTTATAAGTTTAGTTTTGTATAGGTTTAAATTACCCTTTTGGAAACACTCGTGGACGGCTTAACTTACCTGTTCTCCGGTTCAAAGCAGGAGTCCAAACGGCACGGCGTTGTTTTAGGCAGCAAGAGTCAGACCACCATCACCATCGTACTACCAGACGTAAGGCAGGGCGCCTTCCTTATAATGGTGAACGTTCCACCCATTCGCACGAAGCGTTTCGAGTCAAGCTTCCTTATGCGAACTGCTAAGGAATAGAATTCCTTGCCTGAATCTGTGTTTTCCGACAAATATAACTTGGGTGTCTTCAAGTTCCAAGTGAACAGGTTGCTCATAGGTAGCCGTGGGTCGTCGGCCACATCATCGCTTACCAACAGGCGAGACGGCGGCCAAACATTAGCCTATCCCTTGATATACTTATACAATAATAAAACACACCAACTCACTCACTCACATACACACGCACTCACACTACATTGTTACACACCCACAGTAAATACTCAACATATTTTATTCATTCACTCATACAATGTTGTCCATTTTCTTAAGTTAAGAAAATACTTAATATTGTTCAGTGTCTCTGGGGGTCATCTATAACACATGTTACACACCTTTAACAGACACCAGTCTCTTAATAATTGGAACATAATTATTAAATAATTTGTATCTGTAAAATATTTGTGTGAAAATAAAGAATTTGTTTTATTATTATTGTTATAGGTATAAAAAGACACACTTTCGCTTCACCCAAGGTGAGCAGTCATTGCATGATGATTACTTTGAATATACTTTGCCCGGTCCGGGAATCAATCTATTTGGTAGTTATCAGTAATATTTACGACTGGTCATAAGACTACTCGACTAATAAGCGAGTCTCCGCTAATTTAATACAGTCGTCGAAACAGTGACCTATTCCTATTGTTAATGTAAATACACTTAGTACTGTTACAATGTAGTTCTACGTGTACTTATTTTGATCGCAATTTTGAACAGTGTGCAATGTACATAAAGTCTATGTTGTGTAACTTCACGGTGTGCTAAACAATTATGTCTCGGAAGAAACTGCTTTTGTTTGTCTCGTGCCAAGAATAAAACAGTTGAAACATGATTTTTATTGTTATTATAGACTTTGACTCATACGTCTTGAATAACATTTATTTTTACATTTTCGAATAGTAATTAAATAGTTTCATCACTTCACAGTATTACTGGGTTTAAAAAAATATAAGTTATAGCACGGAGTCTGGAATTGTGCCTGGTATATGGCAATAGGCTCACCCTATATTACATGGGACTTATAACATAAATAGTGAAAAGTGTGTGTTACATAGTACAATGGCACTAAGTGCCGTAAGGTGCACCTCTGCCTACTCCTTCGGGGGTAAAAAAGCGTGATGTTGTGTTACGTATTATAAAGTTTACATGTAATATGCCTCTAACAACTGTTTTCTTTTGTAATTTTTTCATAAAGTTCTATTGGTCAATCTTTGCCGATTCGGAGTCGCGGAGAACCTAACGGGTCACCGGGGCTCCGGCTCGACGTGCAGGAGAAGGAACGGGGTGGTAGTCAGTAAGAGTCTGACAGTCCCTTACGCCTTACCCAGGCGGGAGCAGTCATTCGACGATTTTCCCCCCTTAAAAAAAAAATATTGGTCAATCTTTATCACCCGTAGTAAATAACACGCAATGCTAACAAAACGAATCGAAATACCACGGGAGTTTTCTAAACTACCCACAGAACCAATAATAAATAAATGAACCGAATCGACAAAATGTTTCTACGTGCATAACTTCTGAAAGACTGCATCAAATTGGATAGCTCCTGATCGCTACATTCAAACTAACATTGTTTCGGAACAAATACCGGAAAAATTTGGAACACCACCAGTAGAAATGAAGGCTGCCTACAAATAAAAATCTAATATTTCAATTTTTGTTACAGCATGCAACAGGACGTACATGGGAGACGTGGGACGCACATACGAATTAGAGGTCCGGAGGCCTCGAGAGGATCACCTCCCTTTTGTCTGCCACCTCAACTTCACCGCTATGGGCGGGAACTATGGCGACATTATACAGGTATTTAGAAATAGCTACGTGATCAGAATCCTAAGTAGGACCCGTGTCAAACGAATCGTTCCGAACTAGTATGTGATTGTAATCTGAAATAGGAAGATTGTATTTTAGCGGACGAGTAGGGTTGAATTTTGATCGGATGAAAATCTTATTGACGTAAGTGTTCAAGTTATGGAGATCGGTTACATTCGTTGAATTGGTTATTAAGTACCTTGTTTAAGATTCAATCGAGATTTTGGGTTAGAATTATTTGACTGTTTTTTGTAGAATTCACTTTGATCTCTATGTTTGTTTGTATGTATGTTTGTCTGTATGTATGTATGTTTGGTGCGCGATTATCTCGCGATTGGCAGAACCGGTTTTGATGCAGTTTTCAATAAAATCTTTGATACACTTAGGAAAAGGGTTTAGGAAGTAAATAAACCGACCTCAAAAAACGAGAGAATTGAAGTCTGTTTTTATAAAGGATGTTTTTAAATATTTTTTTAATAAACACTAGGATTTTCTCCTGTGTCGTGGGAGCGTTTACAAACGTACAAGTTTACATACACATGACAACCAGACCCGAAACAACAATTTGTGGATAACACAAAGTGTTGTTCTGTGCAGGAATCAAGCCCGCGACACGTTGCACGGCAGCCGGTTGCCCAGCCACTACGCCAACCGTGTAGTCAAATAATATTCGTGTATTGTCTTGATGATTCCACTACAGAATGATCAAGACACCACCCCAAGGTTAACGAAACTTTATACCATATTGTCTATTAATCTAAAGTCTTTCCTATTAAAAAGTCGTCAGGTAATTATCTATAACAAAACTTATTTAACCGCATAAACGTAATCAATAAACAACCTTACTTTTACATTTAAACAATACAATCGGTATAAACATTGGACCTCTATAAATACTCAATTTCGAGAAAACCATTTATATAAGAGCAAAACATTACAAATAATCCCAAAAGCTAGTCGACATTGCTTCGAATCTACGTTTGACATGATTAAAATGGCTTTTATATTAACAGAATTGTATTCAGAATTCTTGGAAATTCATTTCAGACATAACTAAGTATTAGATTCCCGACCACATTCTTATATAAATGAGGTACCAATGTACGGATTATTTGGTGGTTAAAACTGGGTACAATGGCATTAGAAGGACGATTTTTGTGTCAAACAGAAATTAACTTTAAAGTTTGGCCGTAAAGTTTAAAATTCAGTGAGAGCGTTTCGTAGGCTTGATTTTGCACGTAACATTACATCATCATAGGGATGATTATTTTATACCTAAATGGAGTTTCAACCGTATTGTCGTATGTTTAAATGTTAGTTTTGATCATGGTTTTACAAATGTGTTTCACTGAGTTTAATGTATTACTTGTAATTTCTAAGTTACTGAACAACTAAAATATTGTATACAAACAACATGTTTTATTACTTTTATGGACCTTTTATCTCGAAGTCAACGCTCTTTATTTGTGTATGGAAATATGATCATTAATTATGACTGAACGTTGAACAAAAGGGTTGATTTCTCATAGAAAAGGAATAGTCCTTTGAAGAACAATAAAATTCTAGCTAAACAAGTCTTCCAAAAATTTCAGTTAAACATTCACCCGCGGTTCGTTAAACAATAGACTGCTCATGATTTTCCTAAATATCGTATGCTAGAGATTTTTTTTTTCAAACATTGCCTCACACCAGATTTCTTTCCTGAGTTGTGAGTGCCTTTCATCATCATCAACAACAGCCTATAAATGCCCACTGCTGAGCAAAGCCTCTTCTCACACGGAGAAGGTTAGAGCATTAATCACCACGCTTGCTCAATGCGGGTTGGCGATTTCAAACTTATAATTAGAAATTATAAGCCCAGGTTTCCTCACGATGTTTTTCCTTCACCGTTTGTCAGTGGTGTCTAAATAATCTTAGAGTGCCTTTATAAGAAGAAAAAATATACATATAATACACATCATACCCAGATTTGAAACAACAATTTGTGGATCCGACAAAGAGTTGTTCCGTGCTGGAATCGACCACGCTACACGTTGCGCGGCAGCCGGTTGCCCATCGACCGCGCCAACCGTGCAAGCAAAACACATACGGAGTCTTTTATCACACGGAGTAGAACACAAATTGTGCTACCATTTTTAGATACTCAATTCCATTTTCCTCAGCATGAATGGAACTTACATGTCACGTAACGTCATGAACGTACGTGTGTCATAAAATCAAGAAATAATACGTTCAGTATTTAAAAGTATAAATGATATTAAAAACCTATTGGACCTGATTTTATAATTATTCTGCTTTAAAGATTAGAACAAACTTCCCGCTGATGACTATATTAACTAATTTAACTAAAAGACCCGGGCTACTCACGTGAATATACTGAGAAAAGCTCTACTAGTTTCGAACAACTGATTTGTTCTTCCTCATGAGCAGCGTGCTGTTTGATTATATGCCCGCAATAAGATATTTAGGGGCGGCGCTTATTAGCTACACCAGTCGTTAAAATATTTTGTGAATCATTTTTTTGTTTGGAGTAAAAATATCTTAATATTTTTAAGTTAAAGTTTATAATGTGCACAATATTTCAATGACATACCTAATAGTATTATTTCATATTTATAACTCACGTGTATATTTAGGGTTGGAATTGAAAAGGAAACGTTTTGTCAAACGCGTTCATTAAAACGTAACGCTTCGTCGAACCAACTGTCTTATTCTCGAATGGTTTAAATTCTCCTTCATCTGTTTCCTGGCGATCATTAGTTCAATTTTTTAGTTTATTTTTCCTGGTTTATAAAATGTTGTTTTTTCTCAGATTTTTCTTTTTAAGGTGGCTCGTTTTGTTTTGGAAATAAATATCTTTAATGATGTTTTGTGGAGCGATACGCTGTCATTTGTTTTTTGTATTTCTCTAGCATATTTATGATTTTAAGAGCTCTTACACACGAACGGCATATTGACAACGGCTGCCGTCGACACGTGACGGTGGCAACTTCTGACGTGACAACGGCAGCAGTGGACCTGTAGCCACACTTGCAGTTGTAGCGTTGGTTCTTCAAAGTTGAAACTTTAGTATAATAATTTTTTTCTTTCGTTCTTCAGATAAGCTACTCTAGATAAGTACTGTGACTATTTAAAAAAAATCAAGAAGAATTTTGTTCCTTGCCAAAGTCATATGGTCTTAAAATGTCGCGGAGAACGTAACGGGTAACCGGGGCTCCAGCTCGACGTGCAGGAGAAGGAACGGGGTGGTTTTTAGTCAGTAAGAGTCTGACACTCCCTCCCGCCTCACCCAGGCGGGAGCAGCCATTCGATTATATTCCCCTTAAAAAAAATGCTCTTAAAATCGCAATTTAACGAAAGATGTTTATTCTATTACGTAATGTAACCGGCTCCTTGTCCTTTGTAGCACATTCCAAATAAAGAACACGGAACGTACACCCGTAGTACGCATGCGCAAGTCTAACAATAACCCAGACAGACTCGGTACGCATTGTAAGGTAGTTCACTGAAGGAACTCGAAGTAACTAAGTTTTAACTAAGCTCTGCAACGAGTACTTCGCGTGTGATAGCGAGATTCTTACTTAGTTAGCGTTTATTGTTAATTAATTAAGTTGAATCATATAAAATTTTCTTAAGAAATAGTAAGATGTAGTTCTACGTGAGTTTCTCTCTCTGGCGTAAGCCGGAAAACGAGCAGATGGATCACCTGATGGTAAGCAATCGGCGTCGCCCATGGACACCTGGAACACCAGAGGCGTTACAAGTGCGTTACCGGCCTTTTAGGGATTAGGAGTTTGAGAATCGTTGAGGATTCAGGGATTGGGGAGATAGCTGAAGGGGAGGGGGGTAATTTCGAAATGGAATTTCAAAAGACATAATATACAATTCACCTACTGGTCAAAATGTTTACACATTATATTATTCACCATAAGATCACATATTTTACAATAGCTTTAAAATAACTATCATAAGGTACATACATACTTAAATATCCATGATGATCTCATCAAGATAAACATTTCAAAATCTGCCAATCATCTTTGAAACAACAACTATAAGAATCATAATTCAATGGCAAATCTAACCAAAAGCATTTGTTTCAGCTAACCTTCGACACGTTCACGGTTGGGAAGTTTGTGTCATTCACGTCGGATGGATGTCCTGATGGGCACATGACGATAGTGGAGCGAGCTCCCTCCCCACCAACGGGACAATGGTGTGGATCTGCATGGGGTTACACCGTCTATTTTTCAGAGTCAGATTCTATTAATATGACCTTGAGATTGGACCGGTTAAGTCAGCAGGTGAGCGCGAAAATGAGACTGTATTTTAGCGTAGTATAAAATGTTTCATTGTTATCCAATATGATATAAATTTATTTAAATTAGATACTGTTTTCTTGGTACAGTTTTCCGTATTTAAGGACAACTGATGTCAAATTATATTTCTTAAAAAAATTAGTTCACCACAAATTCGAAATTTAAAGTTATCATTCTGATCTTCTTCGTTTTATTTGTTGCTTTATTATGCTAAATACAAATTGTGGTTTTATATCTATTATGATAAATCTTTTTCAATATAACGCTTTCATTTAAAAAAAGACTACATCATGTATAATGCATAGGGTTAATTCAGTAAAAATAAAGCGACGTATCATGTTTTCAGTATTTCAATTAAACTTTAACATTTTATCTCTGTCACAAACATAGAGGTTGATTAAAAAGAAAAGCCTTTTCGTGGCAAGAATTTTAAAAAAGGCATGTAACATTTCATACCCGAAGGTACATTTAGAATGGGGCCACATAGGGATAAGATTTAACATACAATTTGTTAACACAACAAACTGACACGTTTAATTAGAGTTTTTGCTCTCAGCAAAGTTAATCCGTATAAATGAACAACAGTATTTATCTTCATTAAGAGTCACTTACTAAGCATCCCTTTGTGTTGTACTGACGTGATGTAACTAACTACACGTTTTCGCCTGTGACTTGACTAATATTTCACATCGCCCCGCTTTTAACGGTTCGCTGCCTTCCCTTTATCTCTTGTTAGCAGCCGTATTATGTGCACTAAGGGTTGAACTTTCGATCAATTAATTAGGCGACGATTACGGACACCCTCCCGGGACCGCAGGATAAGGATACCTCGCTATTACAATAATGTTATTGGGTACCGCCTTAATTCCTTAATTTAATAACGGGAATTTCGTTTCGGAACCATTTAATACATTTCGGATGGCTCCCTAAATTTTGTTAATGCGCATCGCCTTTTATCTTTTACTAGTATTCTACTTTTAAAGCGAATCTTTCGAAATATAATTTCGCTTTCCTAATTGATTAATGACTGTTTCTCAATAGAAACAGAAGTTGGAAAATTTTTGATTACTTTCGGTTATATTTTTGAGTGGCTCTCGTGAAAGTTATGTTTGTGTTACTTGGGTAATTAATTTAATTTTAAGCAACGTTCTATAAATAAAACTTTGAACTCCTATCCTTTGTTTTTCTTCATTGTATATTAAGCAATAAAATCATCTGAAAGTGCTTGCGAATCAGTATTAAATTCCTTAACATAGCTGGCACGTGCAAATTCGTTGTGAGAATATTGACAACCCTATTTCAACAGGGAGTGGGCTACAATTTCGACTTCAAGTTGGCTTACAAGTTTTTGAGGCGTAGTGAAGCGAGATTACGATACGGTAATGCTACTGTTGGCGCGTGGAGAGGCGAAAGGGTACCTGGGACCTACTGCGACAGAATACTGAGTGACTGCGACCTTAGAGCCTGTCGCATACAATCCCCCAACTTCCCCGGCGTTTATCCCCGGAACGCAACTTGTACATACCGCATTGAACATACTAAGGTGAGTACAAATGAGTTTTGAACTTTATTCATACATACAATTAAATTTGTTTTTATTTAAAGTACTTATTATTATTTTGGAACAGTTTTACGATGTATTTGTAGTATAATTAGTATCATCAACGCAGGCATGTGAAAAAAGATGTGCATTCCAATTCTTTCAAATTAAAATATGTTCTTCAGGAACTAAAAACATTCTTCTTAGGAGTCAAAAATAAACGTGTTCCTGCATCACACTGTAATTAAATTTATGAAAAACAGAACAAAAGGTGCGACGCCAAAGTTAAAACAAGAGAACAAAGCAATTAAAAAGGGGCATGTTTCTGGTTTTTGTTTAGAAAATAAATCGTAAGCAGGAGAAGTGTAATGTGGGCTTTTTGTGGCTCTTTGTGTTAATATTTAATATAAAATTCACACCAAACTGCGTAACTGTTACACCTGGAATGTACATAATAAATGTAGGATGCGTAAGGGTTGGAACTTTTTTTGTTACACCAAAATGTACTCTCTGTGTTCGTTGATAGAGTTGAGTTTATATTGTGTCTTTTTCTTTGCAGATACCAGCAGATAAACATGTTTTACTAGCAGTAAGACAGACGAATAGTCACAAAATACATATCAAAGACCAAATAGTGAAGTACGATAGAAGTCAGCGCGTATTAAAGTGAGTACATATGTAACTTGTGTTCTTCGAGAGTAAAGTCGTTACTAAAGGGGACTGTTTGTTTATTACAAACTTCTGTCATATTGTGGAGACGTAAACATAAATGTTTTATATCAGTCTAGAGCTTACAAAAGAGTGTGTGGCTACCTTTGTTTAAATTTAAGTTTAGCTATTCATTTGTTTGGCGACACTGCTTTAAGATTATTGTAGAATGCAAGATTACCTTTAAATAACATAACGTCACGCGTTTTATTCCCGAACGGGTATGCACTTAATGCTACTGTACAATGTAACACCCTCTTTTCACTATTAATGTTATAAGTCCTATGTGATAGAGAGTGAACCTATTGCCATATACCGGGCACAATTCCAGACTCCGTACTACCACTAAGTTTTTTTTTTAAATACCTTTGAATACGCCTGCATTATCAACCATTCCTTCATCACGTGCCATAACAATGGTACAATAACAGTTCTTACATAACCATAACTCATGTCAGATGACAATCATAATTGCAACACTAATATAGATTAATGAAGAAACACAGTCCATCTCCGTTATTAGTTACACGGAGTCTTAATCGTAAAATGAGACTTCCATTTGTAACATTAATAATGTTGACAAATTCTATCCGTTCACCATTTTGGGAAAATTATTTACACCCGATTTAAAGAGCTTGAAAGGCGTCGGTGTTAAGACGAGAAGATTAGCCTTTTATTCCTGGGAGAATTGTTAAAATGAGACTTAATAATATTGTGTTAGCTGTTGGTTGAGAATTTTGTCATATGATTTTGATAGACATTTTCATTTACCTTGCTTATTGTGATTATTATTGATATACCTGTTTAAAAAATCTATGGTTTGAAACAAATAAAAGACAGACGTAAACAATAAAAAGAAGTTTGCCACCAAAAGTAAAGTAATAATATCTTACTTATTTAATCTTTAATGTACACAATTTTAATATGGCACATAAGGCGGACTTAATGGCATTCTCTACCAGTCAACCTTAGGGTTTAAATAAATCTTACCTCAATACTTTTACAGAATAACATCATATAAACATATAAACATCGCCCTTTTTAAGTATTTTAAGCGCACGCTGATGAACACGTCACTCCAATTTAAATAAGGTCCACGTACCCACGTATATCATTCCACAACACTCCACCTATACCCTCCAGATACCAATCTGTTCCCATTAAAACCCCAACACTTGTCAAACTTCACTAATCCATCAATCTCTTGTAGGATTTGGGACCAATGCAATGTCGTGCAAGATTACCTCACAGTTTGGGACGGACCCACTCGCGATTCACCGGTGCTAGTCCGTCTTTGTGGAGGAGATGCGGTACCAGATATTGTCAGTAGAGGTCCCAATATGTTACTGGAGTTTCATACATCGCCCTACGATAATCCGTTTCACCCAGTTCCATTGAGCTATCTACCGGGATTCGAGCTTGAAGTACAGGTGAGTTTTCGTATAGTGTATTATGTGTGTGGATTGGGTGAGATGGCTCCGAAATTTATTTCCAGCTTTGCTATTGGGGAGAAATATGGAAGATTTGTTGCGAAAAGACTCGTTCGGTGGGGGTTGTTATTGTGAATTTGTCTTTGTGTGTTTATAGTGAAGTGGTACGTTGAACTTACTTGCATTGTAGTTTATAGCTTCCCTACTCATTTTTTTAAATTGTGAGAAACTTAAAATACTTTTAGTTTAAGTTAATAATCAAACGGACTATACGTTATTCGTACAACAGCAGTTTTTAGAACGAACTTTATTCAGTAAATAAAATCAATTACTCTAACTTCTAGCTTCAAGAAAATAAACTTCTAAAGCAAGCAACATTCCTCTTACAATGATAGAACGAGCTACTAAAAATCGTTACTTTCCAATTGAGACTGAACGATTGCTAAGTTAAAGCCATACTCTCTCTGCAAAGGAAAGTTGATTGTATTGCATTCAACACAAAGCTCATACTTGAAGTATTTAATTCAATATCTCTTTTATCTAGTAGCATGAAACTTGGCTTTGAATATTAGGTTTATTATAAGGACGTAATATCGTAAAATATTAAGATTACAGACTTTAAACTTCTTCAAACTGAAAGTTACTTAACATGACGTAGCACCTAAACTAACCCCTTACTTATACTTTTAGGTATTGCTTAATAGGTGGATGAAAACAAAATGTCGTTAAATGTCCCCTATCGTAGCTTATGCTTTCCATACAATTTAGAAGAGGTTGACGAAAACGAATATTAATATACATTAATATTCGTTTTAATGATGAAAAAATGAAAAAGGTGATTGTAAACTAAATATGCAAATTGGTAGATATCAATTTACACATTTAGTTTTTACAATCACCTTTCATAATCATCATAAAAGTTTTAAGAAAATCTCATTATAACTCATCAAAACTAGATAAGTGTGATAGTACAATGATTCTGAAAATACACTATTATGTTCCATAAATTAATACAATCATTTGTACATACGTTTTCCGATGTGTAATCTATGTTATCTCACATAGGTACTCTATGTGGAGAAAGACTCCCATTCATACGTGCGTTCAGATGGCCGTTGCCGTTTTGTGCTCCGCTCTTCGGATAAAACCAGTGGAGTACTAAGGAACCCGAGGCATTCACTACCACCGAACACATCTTGTGTCTACTATTTCCAGGTAAATGTTTGTTAGAATTCTGTAGGTATTTCTATTTAGAAAATGTAATTGAAATGGTTATAGAATTTGATACTTCATGTTGTTAGTGTGAAGGTTACTTCTTCTGTGGCATAAAATGTTCTTAAGTCATTTATTTTTTCATGATTATACACTGATTTAGACTATACGTTATGTCGTTTTGAACTTGAGGAGTAGATATCAAAAGCTTTGGAGGATCCTTGATAACTTTGAATCATTTAAGCATACTTACGCACTTCTAGACTTTGTTAGCTAATAATAGGTATAGAAAACATGAAAAAATGTAAGTAACTAGCTTCTGCCCGCGACTTCGTACGCGCAATCCCATTTTCCCTCCGTTCCCGTTCGTGATCTTCGGTAAAAATTAAAAAAAAAAGTATTGTATGAAAAGTATCCTATGTCCGTCTCCTGGTTCTAAGCTACCTCCCTGCCAATTTTCATCTAAATCGATTGAGGCGTTCTTGAGTAATAAATAGTGTAACTAACACGACTTTCTTTTATATATACTAGCTTCTGCCCGCGACTTCGTACGCGTAATCCCATTTTTTCCCGTCCCCGTTCGTGATTTTCGGTAAAAAGAAAAAAAAATTTGGTTAAAAAGTATTCTATGTCGGTCTCCTGGCTCTAAGCTACCTCCCTACCAATTTTCAGCCAAATCTATTCTGCCATTCTTGAGTTATAAGTGGTGTAACTAACACGACTTTCTTTTATATATATAGATTAGATTAGATATCACATGTTAGGACAAATCTAACCAATCAATTCCACGTTTATTTTTTCCAACTTTTATTTTAACGAAACTTGGTTAGTTTTATTCATGTAGCTGCTAACATACCGGAAAACGAAGTCCATTAAATTATTTACCTACATCTCATAAAATATTTGTAGCGGAACTAAACTAAATGGACTTTTTACCTATTCGGATAACGATTTGTAAAAATATTTTGTCGGATTTTGATAGATTGAAATAGAATGTTAGAATAATTTTTGTTAAATTCTGAAAACAACTATTTTTTTCTAATAAACTAACTAATAATATGCCAGTGGCTTCACCCATATGGTGCAAGGTGGAGCAATGAAGGCGACGTGTTGTTCTTACGAATAACTTTAATTGAGTGTCTTAATAACTATGTAACTTCCACTACTTACTTATAGGGTGAGTTGTCACACACACTACAATGGTAAAAAAAACTTCTTCAGCCTCCTAACCTTTTCTGGTAGTGTTTTTTACTAACTCGGAACTTATTTCTTTACAAAAAATATCAGATGATTGATAAACAAGGGAGCAATGACCTGATGACCAGCTAATATACACGCGGTTTCATCATATTACGTATATATGCATGTTTTAAGATCACTTTCGAGTTTATTATTCACATTTATTTATTCGACGAAGATGCGAAGAACCATCACATAAAATCCACGATGTAATTGATCAAAATGAACTTTGTAATATAATATTCATGGTTGACATTTAAATGTAGGCTGTATAGGAGATATAAATAGAATATGTTATTGATATACTCAAAAATGTGTTAGCGTAGGTGTCTTTTCAACAGTAATAGGGTTACCTACAATTATGTTTAGTTCAAAACTGTCTGTGATTCTTGTACATAGTACATTGCCTGTTTATAAAGGTTATTTATATCACCTTCTAGTTTTATCTCTGCACTATTTAATGGTTCACTAGGAGATAATTACCAAGGCATTAAGTCCACGCTCATTTTATTAAGTTGAATTAAATATATAAATGAATAATTATTTACGTGTTACAAATCCTTCTTAGTTTGAATAGTTAGGTACGTTTTTACCGAGAAATATTTTTAAAGTTCATGAGCTTTTATTTACAGCGCCCTGAACCCCTCAATAACAAAACACAAGAGTCGTAATCCGATCTCTTGTAAAACCGACTCAAAGTAATTCCGGACTCGGATCCGACAAGGACTAAACAAGGTTTTCGATATCGACTAAAAACGGGAACCGACGCAACCATTTTGTATGTCCACTAGCTTTGAAACAAAACAGCTAGGGTTGTTACTGGTAGTTAAAACGATTTACGCTTTCTAGGGTCGGGCCAACGAGATAGTTTGGGTGTCGTTTGTGAAGTACCACTCCGCTGGAACGGAGCCCGCTGGCTTTGATCAACAGAAGGACTGCTCCTCACAACTGACTATATGGGATGGAGCCGCCCCTGATGCCGATTTGGATCGAAAGGTCAGTTTATTGTGTTTAAGTTTTCCAGTTACAGGTTTATGGTAATTTGAGGTTAATAGCTGAGGTAATTTTGGTAACTGTGATTTATAAACGATATTAAGCTGTTTACTATTGACAAATTGCTTTCGTCCATAGTGCCAAAGGACGTTGACTTTTGCAACACATTTGACTTTTAATTCGTTAACAATAAGCAAACAAGAGCATTTGTATGCAGTCGAATTTTAAACAAGGCTATATTTTTAACAAGTTACAACGAGAACCGGCTGATTCTCGTTCGGTTATTCATAGCATAAAGAATACCATTTTATCGTGTACCGCGCCATCGTACGAAATCATGGCAGAAAAGTAAAAAAATATTATGACGTTGCTTTTGGGTTTTAGTCCAATTTTCAAAGACGATGAGTATATTATTGTATTATTTATTGTCCTCCACAATTACAAAATCAAAGCCATTAGACATTGAGAACTCTAAAATGTATAGTTTTCACTCTCTTTAGTTTTTACCGTGAATTAAACTTAAGTCTTCATTGTTGCTGGGGTTCCGGCTCGATGTGCAGTAAGAACGGGGTGGTTTTTAGTCAGTAGGAGACTGATAGTCCTTCCCGCCTCACTCAGGAGGAAGAAGTCATTCAATGATGTTCCCCCATTAAAAAAAGCCTTCAAGGTCAACAGCAGTAAAGTATGTTGTACTTACACCCTTTTAATAGTAATGAAGGAGGTAGTTCAAACAAATCAAAGACCAAAACACCTTCCTAACAAGGTAAATAAAACACCTAATCGTAATTTAAAGCAAAACGTATCGCTTAGTATAAACAAGAAATACTTTGTTGCTAATTAGGGAATATTTTGAAGCAGTTTAGGTAAAATTACAGGATATTTTCATTAGATATTTAGTTCTCCTTAATGAGTTTAATATTTATCTTGAAAATGGCCGCGGAGGGTTTAGATTTATAGTCGAGACAAGCTTGAAATATAACGTTGCGAATGATAATTGCAAGTAACACCGTGTTGTTACAAAATGACCTTAATTTGTTATGTCATATCTCCAAAATCGGTACAAGGGAATAAGATATGGTTTTAATTTGTTTTGTCGTTTATAGGGTACAATTTTCTATGGCAGTCAATGTTTGCTCTGACGTTTTTATATCTTTACATTTGACTTTATGCTTGCTGAAATTTAGTTCGCTGTTAAGTTAAAATCTAGCTATGAAGGGAGAGATTTAAATAGTGAACGATACATCATGCTCATAGATAACTGGAGAACTGTCCATATAAAGTATAAGATATTGCATTGCCTCCTCAATAGTTTTTAGGATTATTAGCGTTTAATGGTAGTAAAAGGAAGTAAAACGAACAAACTTTCAAACCAAAAAATCATTCCAATTTCAGAGCCGTAGGTACTAAAGAGAAGTACTTCGACATGTGTCGTCTAATGTCCCAAATAACACTGTAAATCTTCTCTTAAAATTGTTATTGTCTAACTTCCGTACTTATCGGAAACAATTCTTGGCGTTCGCGCAATAAAAATAAAATATTTAAATTGTTATCGCATACCGAATCACAATACCGGGTCTTTCGTATAAAATTTTATAGTACATGAATTTAAATGGTAAAGAGTCCGGAGGCAGCGTGTATCGTAATGAAATGTGGATTAAGTTTAGCATGTACTGAGTGAAACTTTCGCAGTGCGCAAGACTTACGCGATGATACAAGCACGAAGCGATATAGAATTGGGAGGCATTCTCACAGCATTTATACGTGCCATTTCACTTTGCCAACTACCTCAACCCCCCACTTGACGTCGGCAGCCAAACATTAATTTTCTTTAATGTGTCTGAGCACTTTTACCGAGTTCCACCGACTGCAGTGCGGTGTTTCGTTTCATTCATTCGAGATTCTTCAGTTTGCATTAAGAATGGATAAGCGGTTCTAGTTCAACTTATTTTTTGTTGGCACTTTAATCAGAAAAGTTTTTCCGTTCGCCCGCAGATACACTATGTAAATAGTGTTGCTCAGTTGAATAAGTAAATAATTTATTCAGGGCCTTTTTAGTTTTCTTTCAATTTGCATGAATTTACGAGGGATTTTTTAAGAGTCGAGATGTCAATTTAACTTATTTACTTAAGATCTGATATGCTATAAATATTCAATAGTTTTTGGACTCTTTCTCACGTTAAAATTAGGGCTTGAATAAAGCCGAAGATTGCTTCGGATTTTATGGGGTCTTTTCTGATTTATAAATGTGGTGGTTATTTTTGTATAATCAAATTCTTTTTTTCAACAGTTGGATATGAGTGACAAAAAGTCTCGTCTGGGATTGTTTTGTCGTGAAGAATCGCCTCGGCTTTGTGATCACGCTCTACTCTCGAATGCAACTAGGGCAACACGACCGTGCGCCCCCTCCGAGAGCTACATCACCACTGGGAATGCCCTCACTATACTGCAAGTAAGTAAATAATTAGGTTTAAGCTACTTAGTACATATTAGCACACATTTTCCTTTGATCTCGGTTTGTGTGTGTACAACGACGTAACTAACATGGATGTAATGAGTAATGTTTTATTGTCAAGCGCATTTGGTCTGTTTGGTTTGATCTTATGTTGTGGATCTAAGAAACTAATTATGGGATATAGAGGTATAATGCCATGAGTTAAATGTTAGCTAGGTAGGTACAACAGTTGTCTCCCTAGGTGTGTTTTAACAGGCGTTGCTCTGTGGAGGCTCTGGAGCAGTTCTCTTTTAGAGGACCCGGTGCCTCCATTCAGGTGTTGATGGTGGCCACCGGGGTGGTTTTAGTGAGGTAAAAATCCCACACTCTTTTATCCCCAAAAAGGCTAGACGCCTTTTGAAGGGTTACCCCCGTCATCAAAAAAAAGGTACTTCAGTTGTTTTCAAATATTTCATAAACAAAAGAATAAATGATGAATTCCCCTTAACAGAGGCAATATTTTTTCCAGAGTATTTTAAAAACTTAAAATGTTTCAGGCACTGTTAAAATTTTAGCACAAAAATAAATCTCGACCAAAAAACGCTTGCGCAAAAATGTACAGCTAAAATCAGACTCGACGACACGGCACTGGCACTGCGATAAAAAAATCCAAATAAAAATTACAACGTAAATTAAAGCAACAAACAGACTACGAACAAACTGCCAAAGCTCACATAATTACTACTGCAAATATTTATCTACCTATTTCGATATGTACTCACGTATGCAAAGAGCACATTGTGACAGGCAGCGAGAAATTTTTGGGCAAAATATAACAGGAGCATATTGCATAGAACTGGCTCGGAACGGTCATGAATTTAGAAGTACACATAGTCACATTGAACCATACAATCCAGCTTATCATGGTCTCGTATTGTCTGCTCTTTCTATACATTCAACGGTCAGTTTATGCTGGATATGCTCAACTTAATGCGAAGCCATGTACTTGGATAAAACACGTCACTTGCATTCGCGAGCTAATAGTTCCAGTAGATCTTGTGAAATTTTTATGTCTCTCTCGCATATTTCAGACGGAATTACTAAGAATATGACTTCTGGATTATGTATGTGAAAGTTATGGAACTTCCATTCTGTGGCGTACTTGTTCTTTGATAATTCACGTTGGAATATTTCAGAGATAGATGGAACGTACGATCTTTTGCCCGGTATTTCTTATTCTAACATGAAGGAATAAAGAAATAAATATAACTATAAATTCACAAATAGATATCATCAGACTATAGACCGCGAGAATTCGTTGAAAGAATATAATAGAAATAAATGCTTGCTATAAATTATCTGTTGCTAAATTTGTTGCTTTTTTTGGCACCACAACACCAACGATTAAAAGTCAAAGTCCTGTAAAAGATATTTGTCTCTTAACAAAGTACTATGGAACTATTTATGTATTAAAAGAATCTATTTATACTTACGTAAATATTGTCATGGAAAATCAGAACTCACATTTTCATATTTCACTGTATCTCAATCAACATTCTAGTTCAGTTACAAGTAGGCACGATCCGTCTTTGTAGTACCTCATAAAATATCAAGGGAAAAAGAAAATCAAAGTCGCTACAGATACCTACCTATGTATATAGGAAAATTACGATATTCCTTTTTCATAAACGACCCTCTCAACAAATCAGAGGATAATAATATAAATCCCATAAACATGATTTCTCCATTATATCAACCCGCATATATCGGGAGGTTATATTATTCGAGTATCGATCCTTACTCTGACATTCAAAGCAGCAATCCACGCGGGATTACGCCATTGTTTCCTTTTATAAGTTCACCACTGGCCTTTCGCTATTGCTGTCTGATGTAACTTTTGAGGCGTGTGAAACATTCATAGCAGCCAGGGTAGATAAGTCACGCGTTGCTCCCGTTGCATTCGCCATAGTGAATAATGCAAGGAGCACGTGCTAGTTCGTTCGCTCTCTGTGATAGAATGTTTTAGTGTTGTCACGTTATTTTAAGTGTTAGGAGTATCAAGCGATGAGACACGTACTGGAGTGTTTGTAAAACTCTGGATTTATTGCGACTCATCACTCGTTATGGTCGTTTTATTTTCTTTTCGGTGGTTTGCATAAGGTTTTAGATTGGATGTTGTCTATCTGTAGTTATTACTTGTAGTAGATAATAACATTAGCTCAAGTTGTCACTATCTGTCAAGGAAGTATTGTCCTAAGCGTGATAGATAAAAACCTTCTTATTTATCAGGGACCAATTTTCTATTAAATGTAATCCTTACTAATATTATAAATCGGAAAGTGAGTTTGTTTGTTTGTTCTGCTTTCACGCACTACCTACTAAACTGATTACTTTGATTTTTTGCAGACGTAAAGTTAGAAGTCTGGATTAAAAAATAGGGTCCTTTTTATCACGGAAAAAATTGATATTCTCTAGGGAAAACGAAATTATTGGTATAGATGGCGCTGTATGTATTGCTATATGTTACATAGGTTACTTTTTATCCTTTTGCAACGCGAGCGAAGCCGCGGGTAAAAGCTAGTTTTTATAAAACAAGAAAACAGACATAGGTATACTGACCAGATTGGCGATATATTAAAGAAAGGTCAGATTACAAGTAACTGACGAGCTTGTTGAAGAAGCGAAAGAGGTATTCAAGAATCGTAGCAATTGGCGGTCCATAGTCTCTGCCTACCCATATTTACATAGACTATATTGTACAAAGACGACAAAGTCAATGTTCCCTTCATAGGACTTGTTTTCTTTCTGAGTTTATGTTTATTTTACAGATATTGGTTAATAGAATCATATACGTAACTAAATCAACCTAATGATATACGATCCAATGAAGTGAAATATAACTTGGTATTGGTATATATGTACAAACATCATTAGATAGAACTGGTTAGCTAAATTAATTGGTTTACTGATAATTTAGCGTGAACAGCGATAGGTGTGATTTTCATAGGATACCACGATTTGTAATTTTCCAACCCATTCCGTTGCTCCTACACGAGGCACTAAAATTCGTGATTTGGCTGAGTTGATTTCAGTTTCCAATTTGCAAATAAACTTCTCTCTCATTTTGCTTTCGAATACTAGTTCAGGTTTTGCTTGTTTAAGTAAAGCTGGTAGGTATATACGTCAATTAACAAAATTGCATCTCATGCAGATAGTTTTTCGTATGTTTACATTATGTTACAATACATATATTATAAATGTTTGAATTATATTATAAAACTGTGAGTAATTCAATTGTAATGAAAACCTTCTACGCATTGAATATACTTCTCACATACTTAATTGTTTAAGGTCAAGTAAATTGTAGAAAGATTTAAACTAACTCATCCACTTATTCAACTCCAATCTTCTACGGTCACGATCTAAAAAAGAAAAGTAGTCAAAGCGCGTAAAATAATTTTAATAAACTTCAACACTGTCATTTGTATTCGACGCAGTTCTTCAGAAACCAGAATACGCCCCAGTTAATATAGGAAACCTGGTCTTAAGCAAGTCGTTAAAGTCACTAGTTGGGAACTGCTTTATTATTCAATATTAAATTCAACAGAGGAAGGACTGAAGCAAGTTTCTAACTAAATATTTGAAGTTTTACTACACCACGCGGTCGCAGTACCGTGGCACCGACCTTGGCGATACTGCTTATAAAGTAGAAATAACTTTTAACGTTTATAGAAGAGTGAAAATGTATGAAGATAGATCATTAACTATGATTAATGTCTATACTTGTTAGACTTTTACTAATAGCTCAAGTATTTTAGTAATGGTTTCAAGACATAATGTTTAAGTCGATATTTATGATACAAAAGATGGAATATGATGTCTTCGGTCTGACGTACCTCCGGAAAAAAATGTTTAATACCTAGTAATTAGTCCTTCTAAAATATGAGGATATCATTAACACAAATCAAGACACCGGTACCTTTTTTTAACAGTAACAACGACAGTTTAACAATCGATTTTAGTTAGATCCAATTTTAACTTTTTATTTCTTTACAGGAACTCCGCCAAGGTTCAGCACTCTACCCGGTCTCATTCGTCCTTCGCTACGAATTTGTCGACGTTAGTGAACAAGGCCAACCATTGGTAGACTCACAATCAGCTTGCGACCGTGTCTTCAAATCTGCGCAAACTTACTCCGGAAGATTTCAAGCTCCCCGAGCAATATTTTATTACGGAAGAGGTGGCGCACAGAACCTCACTTGCATTTTAAGGTAAAACTATTTCTAAGTACTCCCAAAACCTTGAGACTCCATTAAGGATGTTGTTGAAATTATCATAATGTTTGCAGATTCGAAGCGAAACAAGGAGAAAGAATACAGTTAACCTTCACAAGCACTTACTTCGGAAATAAATATTGTAATACGCACAAAGACTCACGGACGAGTCGTTGGAAATGTGATAGGCCTGCGAAAAGAACCATTGGGGGCGAAGGTCTCGCCCAAATTATTATAACAGAATATCCTTGGGAAGGAGTACCGATACAAAGAGACTGCATTTGTACTAATAGATCTGAGCCATTAAATGTTCATACATTAACCGCCCCCGTCGTAGAGATCAACTTTACAGTAACTATGATGAATATTACTGAAGATTATGATGATTTTGCTTTTGAAGGCGAATACAAATTTGTTCCTACTGGGCCAGGAGACGAGACTGTGTGTTCTACGGGATGGGGTAAGAGACGGCTTAGGGGCAGCAGTGGAGAAATCCGACTGTATGATAAAAGACAAGTACCTGTTGCACCAGAAATAGTTGGTGATAGACATGTCATATCGGAAAGTGTACGAGCCGAAGTAGCTTGTGTGCATAGACCCTGGCTGATAGAACCTGGAGGTGATGAAGTCACACCTGTCCAAGGAAGATATTTGTACGTCAAAGTTCCTGGTTATGAAGTCACCCCATCTTCACCTTTCTGTACCACACCAAATCGTCTATATATTTACGAAGCTCACGATACGTCAAAATTAAGAGAAGTGTGTCCAGATGGCACGAGTTCCATAGAACTCTACTCCCCAGGATGGAAATCTTCCCAGACAACTTTGGAAACGTCTTTGAAACCCCATGCCGGAGCTATGTGATAGACTTTCTACAACACGAACAAGCTGACTATTCAATCAAATGGATTGAACTCATGAAGAAACCGTCTTTTGACCATGATTCAGACTCCAATACAATTCCTCCACCGGTGTCATTAGAATGTCGATACAGGTGGGTTATCAATATTTTTGTTTTGCATATTATGATATTCTTTAAATAGAAATGTATATTAAAATGTTTTTGTTCTTTTGTTTAGCTGTCCGGAACTGAACGCCTGTATTCCTATCGCACTATGGTGTGATGGAAGCGCTCACTGTCCTTCAGGTTACGACGAAGACGATTCCAATTGCTCCTTCAGGATATCCCTGCCTCCACCGTACGTAGCCGCGGCCGCTGGTATTGGTCTTCTATTATGTGCAATCACTGTAGCTCTTTGCGCTTGTAAAAGACGACGAAGAAAAGACAAAGAGTTCAAAGCAAGATTAGATGGTGCATTACCCCCTGAAGAAAGACCGTTTGATCGAGCTAAAACGAACGGTGTTCCTGAAGCAGCTCGCCAATACGCTACCGTGCAAAAGTATGCGACGATAGATAAGTACAGCTTAAGTCAGAAATACAGTGCAGGGTTGAACGACGCTCGTTACTACGACGAGGTAGCACAAAGGGATAAGCTCGCGGATACAAGGTACGCTAGTTTAGGTCGGGCTGGAAGAGGCATGCGAGTCGAGAACTCAAGAGGCAACGGGTCAAGAAGAGCGATGCCTGATTTGGGTTACCCGGACTTAAAAGACGGTTTTTGTTGACCCACACCGGATCTCATAGAAACAACAGTATAGCCTTTAGGACATTTAAATATTTACAGATTTCCTTTTGTGTAAACATTAGATTGAAGACTGAATTTGGCAAAAGTGCCTCCCCTAACATTTGATCAATAGATATTCAGATTCAAAATTGTAATACAGACATCAGCTTCTATTGTTAAGTAATTTGTTTTATACCGAGACAAAGACTATGACTTTGACTTTGTAGAATATTGTGTAAATAAATTAACCTATAAATAAGTTTGAATAGCAGGCGTCAGACAGTTTATATTCTTTGCATCAAAAATCTCACAGTACTTTTATATTCTCATCAAATAACATATCTAAATGTACATAAAACGCTTGACAATACGATTTTAAGATACAAAATAAATAAAATCATTTTAAAATGTTAGTAGTATGAGTGGTTAGTGACTGATTCTAAACAAATGAATTGTCGGATTTAAGTGTAAACTGAATTATGTTAATAACTTAATTTAAAAGGAATATTTTCCTCTAACAATTCTACTTGAATATAATGTGAAATTTATACTAATCTTCGAAATAAGAAGGTTACTTTGAAATAAAAAATATAATTTCTGTGTCTCATAATTGAATTTCATCCAGACTACATTGTAATGACACTAGACATAAAAATGAAAATGTGATATAGATTGTAAAAATGTAGGTATCTAAGCGTTCACAGAATGTATAACTTACTAGTCATTTTCCTTTGTGTATAAATATTAATTAAGGTTGTAACTAAACTATAGTTATCGATTGTAAATAAATTATAGATTAAGATTTTTAAAGTCTGTAATTATTTCCAGGTAAAAGGAAGATTAAAGTCATTTCTAAAAATCTATTTCTTTTCGTTTTTCATTATAATCACCATTACCATTATCATCGAACAAACAATAGACTTTTTTTTATCAAACTCGCAAATATAAACTTTGATTAACATTTTATATAAAAAGCAAATAATTTCTATTCAAATAATTTCTCCTTTTAACTCAGAAAACAAGGAAGCACCCAAGGCGGGGTAAAAATTGCAAGAAAACAAAGAACGAGATGATGTATCGACCTTACAGTAAAAACAACTCCCTTCTTGTCTACCTGGAAAATATTCCAGCACGGCTTAAAAAGTATACCAAGTTAATGAATAGTACACCAGTCTAATAACAAAGAAACAACGTAGATACACCTTCAAAGACAGTTTTTATGACAATGAAATATTTTTATTTAGTACACAAAAAATGGGAGACATTTTGCTTCATTGGGGTCGTGATGTAAGAACTCCCTACGTTTCTACATTTCTGTCTTGTTAATAATTCTTTTGTAAATTATAGCATTGTATTAAATTACTTTATGCGTCGCCCCGTCACGATATAATGCGGACGTTATGTCACAAATTCTTTTGAATGTTAAAAGCCCGAGTTTTTGTTATATATTTTTTTCATCGATACATTTCATATTACGTTCGATGTTCAAAAATGTATAAATATTAAAAGCGTAATGAAAATTGAAACGATTATTCAGTATCCGAGCTTTTAAATAGAAAATGGCTTTTGTAATATTCTCGGGCTGACGCTTTTTGTTTACTTTTTACGTTATTCACTGACTGAATTCTTAAACGGAATGCTGTATTCCAATATAGCACACGTCGTGTAGTGTTTGTGAGAAAATGTATTATACTATTTTTGGTAGAAGTTGAAAGATCCATTTATAAATCATTTTATCTAAAAATAGAGTACGAAATGTTGTCTCAATAAAATACCTACTACATATTTTGCCGTATTTTTCAAATCAGCGTGACGAGATTGATTGGGTCAAATAAAACGGATATTAGTCGAATTCAGAACCTCCTCCTTCTTGGGAAATCGGTTTAAACTGTCAAACACCAAGCGGTCACCGGTGACCGCGACCTATTGTTCTTTAATTGTGTCTATAAAACCGGTACTCGACGAGTTAAAATATCATTATGTATTAATTATTCTTAATTATCTGTTTCTTGATTGTTACCACATAATTACTTACAAGAAAAAAAGTAAATTAAATATAACTAAAAGAAACGAAGAAGAAAAGTCATTCCACCTAGAGTATACATTTTTCAAAACCCCTTGATCATAATCATAACAATACATAACATGAAGTCACCAGAGTGCCAAGCACGAATAACTATCGCATTCGTAACGTATCAGTATCGAGTGCGTTCGGCGCTCTGATTGGCCGGCTCAAGTGAACCAACCAATCAGAACGCTTATCTCGCTCGATACTGTTACGATACGAATGCGATAGTTATTCGTGCTTGGCCCTCTGGTACCTAGACTACGCAGCATCACTAATTTGTATTTGTCTCGTCAAATAATTAGATCATTGGCTCAAGTTGCATTACCCTGTCCACTTCGCCGGCGTAACGAGAGCGACGCAAACTAAATTATCTGATGAACTAATTAAAGCTTGGATGGTAACTGTAGTTCTGTAACAACAAGTGAAATCCCTGGGAAATGTACAATGGAGGGGTTTGGGAACATTTACTTCAAATTTTGTGTTGTTGATCGTTTGTGTGTGGAGCTCTGATTGACTGGTGATTGATGCTGCCTATGTATTGGTGGCGATTGTCTTCTTTTTAATGTAAGTACATTTTTTATATTAATTACTAGCTGACTGATACTTCGGGTCACCTAAAAGTTATCTCATCTTTTAAACCTTTTCTATACTTTCACGAATATTTAATGTCCAAAATTAGCCAATTCGGTTCAGCTGTTCTCGACTTTTAGCGAGACTAACGAATGGAAATTCATTTATATTTATATAGATTAAGGTTTATTATAAATGATAAATAAGGCCTAAGCTCATAATTAGATAAAACTACATTAATTATTACTTTTTCGGCTTACCCACGTAACTCGACTAGTTTCTAAATGAATATGAGCCTCTACCATGACTTGAAACTAGTCGAGTTCCTCGTCAAACAGTTACACGAGTAAGCCGAAAAAATAATAATTTTAGTATCTCTCATGAAAATTATAATATAAATATTAGCTAAACCTATCTAAATGATTAATAGTGACGTCACTTGTCAAATTAAGCTAAAAGAAGTACAACTGTAATAGACACATATTACTTATTTTATCAAGGCTTATTGTGTTAGTGTTTGTTATACTAGTTTAAACTAGTTATTAAAAATACGCAAACATTATACTATATCGTAGAAAGCCATAAATAAAAATAACTCATGTCACCATAATTATCTACGTAGGTAGGTATATCAGCTTCATAAATAGCTCCTATGTATAAGTTGGCTGTAGTGTATATTATATTATATAGATGATAGATGTATATTTCTAGGTAATTGTGTCATGTAATTGGCTACTTAACGTAAGTATACATGATTATATAGATTCAAGGAATAACTTTCTTCGGAAAAGTCCCTACAAATATCACTATAAGTGCCATCAATGAGGTTAATTCTGTTTGTGAACTCATTGAACATCGTTTTCGGAATTTCATAGAAATTATTAAATGTTACAAGTCATGTCAAAAGTCATCGCACACCTAAGCATGGATACGGCACGACTCCAACCCACCAGAGGGTAAGCAGAGGTGCACATTCACCGCATTTAATGCCACTGTACAATGTGACACTCACTTTTCACTATTATGTTATGAGTCCCATGTAATCGGCGGTGAGCCTATTGCCATATTTGGAACAATTTCGGACTCCGTGCTACTACTGACAATTTTTGAAAATCTCGTAGTACTTTGCCCAACCCGGGAGTCCAACCGGAGACCCCATACCCGGCAGTCACACTTGCGACTCGGCCAACGAGGCACCCAGCAATTAACTTGTCATTTAAATATGTACTTTAAATCGTATGTTGGATGACATATTTCATAACGTCAATATAAAAAAACTGTAAGGCGCGTGGACAAACCGCGCGCCAACGACGCGCTTACAACCTTCTTGTGTTGTTTCCAAAGCAAACTACTAACTTTGACTATCAATTTTTGAATAAGGCAAAGTATTCCATTCTAAGATATTATTCAGATAGGTACTAACTACTATACAAGTCTACAATTCCATTGTACCCCGTTTAAGACATTAAGTTTATTGGCCTCTGTTCCATGGGATTCATCTATCTTCTATACCTACATATAATAAAATCGTAGGAAAGTGAAAACTGTAAATCAAATATTTTTTTAAATGAATGAATAGTAATAAAAATAAGCAACAATGGGCATTATAATCCCACTAATATGTATTATAAATGTGAAAGTTTGTATTGTTGCGTGTTTGTTTGTTTGTTAGTTTACACTTTCACGTCAAAACGACTGAAAGGATCGAGATGACATTTGGAATAGGGGTAGAGGAATACTTAAACCATTTTTTTTTTGCCCTACAGGAACGCGGTCGAAGTCGCTGGCAAAAGCTAGTTTAAAAATAACTATGTTTACATTATTATTATTTTTTACATAATTATGCTGTTATAATTATTTTTTATTCCAGTCTATTTATTTCTCAGAAGACCAAAAACTCCGATGTTACGTTACACATCTTATAATATTTATTTTTTATATACTTCCACGTTTTTGCGTACAGACACTAACTTAGTAAACGAAGATAAATGAAAATACTTGGCGTAAGTTTCTGGGCGGGTTCCGCTGTCCAGTTATCCAGCTAAACCAGTTATCCTTGGAATTTGAAATTTAAGGAATGTTTCGAATTTACGTTGTAGGCGCTTCGTAAACACGATGTTTTGGAAATTTAGAACCAAAGGGGTAACCACAGGGAGGGCACATTGTGCAACTACATCGTAATGAATGTACGGACCTCTGGGTTTTGGCGTCATGTTTATGGGTCGTCAGTCAAACTTATCTGTTTAGGTATTTCTGAATGAAATCGAGAAACTATAAACAAATGTGATTGTGCTTATATTTGTCTACAGTCAGTGTGAATTGTGTCTTTTTTATTGTTATTCATCCAATGACTTCTCCCGCCT